TTCACAGGACCCCAAGGCCGGGAAGGTGGGATTCCCATCTTTGCCGGGCGTCTGACACTTCTTGGCTGGATTGGCTGAAACCATTGACTTCTCCTGGGCCACTCTCACGTCTTCCATTAGGTTGAGATGTAGCCCCTATTATTTTCCCCTCTCTCTGCCATTGCTCTCCCAGCTCATTTCTCGATTCCTCAGGGCTCCCCTCCAAGTTTTTCATTTCAGGTATGTTTCCACGCAAGGCCCCCAGGACAGGTCTATTTCAGTAAGTCTCTCAGATCCCCTAGCATCTTAGGAAAAGGACATTCCTCCAGAGAGATCCTTACTATACTTGTGAGTTGGCAGTGAAATGGAGTTTACTTAACTTTGGACCTAAACAACTCCATCTTACTTTAAAGAGGACTGTAGTAGCTTTCTGAGAAAGTAAAATAGGTAACAATGATATTTCCCTATACTCTATATCATAACTCTGGATCAGAGCAGGAGAGAAGGCCCCACCGCCTGTACCTCCCTCTTCAGCCAGCCTCTCCCAGTTCAAAATTGTCTTTTTCTCACATATCTAATCTGCTGCCTGGTATTGTCAATTTGAATAGATATTTATTTCTATAGGCATCCAGGTACAATGGATAGAGGGCAGGGCCTTGAGTCAGGAAGGCCTGAGTTCAAATACGGCTTCAGGCACTTACCAGCTGGGTGACCCTGAGCAAGGCACTTAACCCTGTTTGCCTCAGTTTCCTCATCTGTAAAATGCAGATAATAATAGTACCTACCTCCTAGACTTGTTGTGAGGGTCAAATAAGATAAAATATTGTAAAGCACTTAACACAGTTCCTGGCACATACAAATGCTAGTTGTTATTACTATTTTGGTGAGAATGAAAATCTCCTTTGGAGAAGGGTGAAGGGAGAGGAGGCTATTCTACCTCCCATTGAGCCACACACAAGGACAGGCCCTTGCCATGTGTGGGCCCTTCTCTAAACATGGGATTCTATAGTGCTACATTATTATTAATTATCACTAGCTAAGTGATCCTGGGCAAGTCACTTAAATGCTCTCTGCCTTAATTTCCCCAACTATAAAATGGGTATAATAGCACCTCTTAGTTTTGAGGACCAATGAGATAATGTAAAGTATAATGTATAATGTAAAGATAAATATAAAGTGCTTAGCACAGTGCCTGGTACATTTATTGCTGAGTCACTTCAACTGTGTCCTACTCTGTGTGACAGCTTTTCTTGGCAAAGATATTGGAATGGTTTGCCATTTCTTTCTCCAGCTCATTTTACAGATGAGAAAACTAAGGCAAACTCAGTTAAGTGACTTGCCCAGGGTCATACAGCTAGTAAGTATCTGAGGTCAGATTTTAACTCAGGTTCTCCTAACTCTAGGCCCAGCATTCTATCCACTTTGCTACCTAGTATATTTTAGGTATTTAATAAATGTTTGCTTTTTCCCTTTAGCTGTACCATGTGTCACTTACATCTTGTACCATATATCACCTACATCTTTTTAAAGGAGACATTTATTAACTGTGAGTTTTTTTCTCCATGCTCTCATATATTCCTATATCGTATTAGTATATATCAGAATATATATATATGTATATATCAGAATAAAGTAAGTATTTCCTTTTTTTCTGTATAAAAGAAGACCCATAGGAAAATCAAGTAAAGTTTGTACTCAAATATATTACAGTTACCCTTCCACATTGTGACTTTCCCATCTTGGTTTCAATATATCACAGGTCGGCATAAGAAATTAAATGGGAATTTTGGGGGAGTTTTGTGGAAGCTTCAGACGACACGATGGCCAGCAGATGACATCGAAAAGGTTTAGAAACTTAGAAATGCATAAAGTAGATGTATGGTATTATATAATATCAACACATTTTCTTTTTTAGGTGTGAAGGGAGGGCCAAAAAATTTTACATGGATTTTCAAGATTGCAAGGGTACTACACCCCTAACTCCCCGAGATGTGGAAGGGATAAGTGTTATCTCTCTGTGTTCATCTCCCTTGCATCACACACTAAAAATCTGTTGTCTAGCAACTGTCTTAGAATTTTTCTTTCAGGTATCAGAATATTAAAATTATTATTTTCATGGAAGCCTCCTAGAGACAGTGTGCTAAGTAGCTTAAATGGAAGAATTTCAGGTCCCGGGCCGATGGAATCGGGGGACAGGTGCATCTTCCATCCCACCAGGTAGACAGCCCTGATCATCGGTCTTGAACCCTGAACATTATGTGTTGATTAGAGAAACAATGAAACTGTCTGGGGAATTCTGGGCTATCTCTTAACTCCCAGGCCAAAGTGAATTGCAAAGGATATGGAGATGAAAACAGGGAGCAGGAGACAAAGAAACAGGGAAACTTCCGTCTACCTCACAGTGTCCAGAGAGCATCTCCAAACTACTGGGTGAGGGGGCCTTAACCTAGGCTGGCACCCCTCACCCCAGGACTTCTCTTAACCATGAGCCCCCAGGCCTACCAAGATATCACACAAAGAAATCCTAGAAGCTATCCATCTATTTAGAGACTACAGACCATCTCACCTGGAAGGAACCTCCAAATATAGAATGTCACCGCCAGAGGCTACTTTAGGATGTAGAACATAGAATATCAGAGCTAGAAGGGGCATGAGAATATAGAATGTTAGAGCCTGAAGGATTCCAGGGGTAGAACCTTCGGCCCTGAGGTCACATGTGGCCCTCTAGGTCCTCAAGTACTGCCCTATGACTGAATCCTTGTGAAGTTTGGATTCAGTCAAAGGGCCACACTTGAGGATCTAGAGGGCCACATGTGGCCTCGAGGCTGCAGGTTCCCTATCCCTGGATTAAGCAATCAACAAATACATATTAGATGCCTTCTATATGCCGGGCACTGTGCAAGGATTGAGGATATAAGTACAAAATATGAAACCATTCTTCCTCACAATGGACTTAACATTCTGACGGGATAGACAATTACATGTAGGATACTACACAGATATAAAGTCAATAATACAAAGCAATTTAGGAGAGAGGGAACTCGTTGGGGAAGGGGGTCAAACTGGGAAAGCTTCATGTGGAAGATGGTGCCTGAGCTGGATCTTAGAGGAAGACAGAGAGGCCGAGGAAAGGAGGAAGTGCGTGCGTTCCAGGCATGGTGGCAGCCCAGTGCATCTTAGAACATGGAAAATAGAACGTTAGCGCTGACAGCAATATTGTATGATGAACAGCTGTGAGTGACTTTGCTATTCTCAGCAATACAATGACCCAAGTCAATCCCAAAGAATTAATAATGAAGCATACTATCAACCTCCTGAGAAAGAACTGATATTGTCTGAACACAGACTAAAGCATGCTTAAAAAAAGGGAAAGGAAATAGAATGTTAGAGTTGGGAGGGACTTTAGAATATAAAATATCATAGCCGTAGACCTTAGAATGAGTAACACCAAGGCCCCTGAGATTAGAACATGGTCTATCAGAGCTGGGAGAGACCTTGGAGATTATCTGATTCAACACCTCATTTTCCAGAGGAAGAAACCAGGGCCCAGAGAAGGCAATTAACTTGCCCAGGGTACACAGTGAGTAAGTGGCAGATCTGGGCCTGGAACCCGGGTCTTCTGAGTCTTAGCCCAGTGTTCTTGTCTCCCCGGTGGGCTAATGATTCACTATCCTTAGTTGTGAAGAACTGGAGAAAAGCAGATACACCCTTGGCCACCTCTGACTACAGAAAACTTTGCTCTGAGCGGCCTAACCTGAGATCTGGATCCTCCTCCCAGTTCTGCCACCTACTTGTCCTTCCTATGCTTTTTTTGGGGGGGGGGGCCTAGGCAATGGAGTTAAGTGACTTGCCCAAGGTCACACAGCCAGTAAGTGTTATGTGTCTGAGACCAGATTTGACCTCGGGTCCTCCTGACTCCAGGACCTGTGCTCTATCCACTGAGCCACCTAGCTGCCCCTCTATGCTTTTCTCTTCAACAAGATGGGGCAGTCATATTAGATGACCTGCAGCACTGTTTCAAGCTATTCTGTTCTCTGAAACTATGGTTGCCCGGGGACAGGAGGCAGGATCACATAATGGGATAGACTCAGAAAATGGGGTCGGGACTGACCTGGGTTCAAATTTCAGCTCAGGTATTTACTAGCTGTGGGATCCTGAACAATGTCACCCCAATGCTACCAAGGCAGATCAAAGGATGCTGTCAGCAGAGCAATACTTGTACATAGTAATAATAACAGCCAATGGGCAGCTAGGTGGCGCAGTGGATAGAGTACCAGCCCTGGAGTCAGAAGGACCTGAGTTCAAATCTGGCCTCAGACCCTTAACACTTATTAGCTGTGTGACCCTGGGCAAGTCACTTAACCCCATTGTCTGGCCCAAATAATAATAATATTAGCAAAAAAAAAAATTAAAAGTAATGATTTCAGTTAAATTATCTGCCCTATTATTGTGGTTTAAGTAGCTAGCTCTTATAGAGTGCTTTAAGGTCTGCAAAGCACTTTACAAATATTATCTCATTTGATCCTAATAACAACCCTGGGAGATCAGAAAGGAAATAAGCTTTTATTAAATGCCTACTATGTGTCAGGCACAATGCTAAGTACTTTACAAGCAGCAGCTCCTTTGATCCTTACACCAACCTTGGGAGATAGGTGCTGTTATGATCTCCATTTAACACTTGAGGAAACTAAGGTGGACAGGAGTTAAGTGGCTTGCCCAGGGTGACACAGCTGCTAAGTGTCTGAGGCTGGATTTGAACTCAGGTCTTTCTGACACCAGTCCCAGTGCACTATCTGCTGCAGCACCTGGCTAGTGATAAAAAGAAATCTTGTTAGGCATTGTGGGCCACTTGAGATATCTGAGCCTCAGCCTATCTATAAAATGGGCACAATAATACTTTCATTGTCTACCTCACCGTAATTACTGAGCCCCACACATGGACACACCCTCCCTTACATATATAAGTGAGCTATTATTTTTATTATCATTGTCATTATTATTATTGGGCCTTTTCCAGGGACTGCCCAACAATTCACTCAGGACTAGCTTGGGAGACACTGAAAGCCTGGCTGCTGATTTGGTTTTCTCTCCCTGGCACCAACATCAGAGAACTCGCCCCAGTTCTGGTAAGTACTTGGAGGCTTCCCCGCCAGGGGGTGGTTCCCAGCAGTGGGCAGGAGGATCGATGAGTGGCCAACTGTTCCCGAACAGGGGCTGCAAAACCTTCGGCAGAGGGAAAGAGGAAGGAGAGCCATGTCTTCTAAGCCCAGTGTAAAAGCTGAGAAGTTCAGCGCTCTCGGTGAGATTCAGCTGATGGTTTACTCTCACCAGCATGCCTTGAATTGAATAAATACCTATTTAACGGAGGCAGGACAGTGGCAGAGGGGGAGAAACAATGGGCTGGAAGTTAGGAGTCTTGGGCTCCTGTCTTGGCACTGCTATTTACTGGCCAGAGGACCCCAGGCAAATCACTTTCCCTTTCTTATCACTCTTTCCTTATCTGTCAATAAGGAGATTGGACCAGATGATCTTGACAGTGCTAATATTCCATGTTCTATGTTGCAAGGGCCCTCCTAGAGCTGATATTCTATGTTCTAGGCTCTTTTCTGGACTACACATTCTATGTTCTAAATGTCCCTTCTGACTCTAACATTCTTCATTTCTTCTATTTCTGTAAGGGCCTTTTTTAGCTCAGATACTCTGTGTCCTGAGGGCCGTCCCTAAGTCAGACATTCTATGTTTTGTCATGAAATAGGCTCTCTAGGTTACTCCCTCAATTTAGCAATTGAATTCAGTAGTTAGGCAGTGACCACTCTAGCTGTGAGTGGTAGCTCCTACCACTCTAACGCCTAAGCTCTAATAAGTGTGTTTCCCATTAACGATTAGTCACTAGAAGAGAAGCAGAGCCAAGATGGCAGAGTAGAAGGAAGAAGAACAACGAGCTCCCCTCCTCATCACCCTCTCATCCCACCCCTGCCCCCAAAGTCCTCCAAACAGATCTAGAAAATGCACCAGACTGAATCCTAATTGGGAAATTTAAGAAAAAAAAAATCACAGTGAGTCATTTTTTTTTTTCCAGTCCAGATCAACATAGGAAGATATATAAAAGAGGTCTGTGGACACTGGAAATTAGGTCTGACCAGGAACAAGATTCAGCAGTGCACTCAGAGCATTGCAGTGTAGGGAGAGACTGGGCACCAGGGCAAGAAGAGATCTCAGATCTGGACCAGATTTATAGGGAAGCCTGATGAGCTTTCAGCACCATCAGCACCACCGTGGCACCCAGATCCACAATGGAATACTGAATCAGGATGTGGGAACACATGCCACCCAGCAGCTTTGTCACTATCCAGTTCCAGGTCACAGGTCTAGGGTGGCCTGAAGAAGGCCGCGCCAGAGGTAGCATTCTGGAATAAGGAGCAGTCTCAGACCCTAAGCTGTGTACCCAGAAAGGAGAAAGCTCGGAAGCAAGCAGCAGCGAGGTGGCTTAGACCTCACCAAGGGCAAAGCAGGGACTCAGTTTCAGCTTCTAGCCCAGCCAGCAGAGGAATAACCAGGGCAAGAATCTCAGACCGAAGTGGATTCTCCAGTTTTGTTTTGGGTTTTTTTTTTTTGTTTTGTTTTGTTTTTTTTGCTCTGAATTAGCAGAACTTCCCAGTTGACTGACAGTGGCTGAGTCCAGCAGATTTTACTGTTGCTCAGACCCAAGCCCAGGTCAGACACTTGCAAAGCTTAGACCATGACGGCTGCAATCAGACCATGCCCTAGATTAGACCGCTTGGGGAATGCTGAAAGCCCTGAGCTTGAGCTGTCTTTGACATCCTGGAACAAGAAAATATTCAATACCCCAAGAAAGTAGCATCAGGACAAGGCCAGAACTTTCCTCCACAAGTGCTGTAGTGCTCAGCCCTAACATCAAGTTTGGAGTCATTTTACAGATGAGAAAACTGAGGCAAATAGGGTTAAGCGACTTGCCCACCATTACACAGCTAGTAAGTGTCTGAGGTTGGATTTGAACTCAGGAAGATGAATCTTCCTCACTCAAGGCCCTAACTGTCTCCTAGCTGTCCTGCCTGGCACATGGTAGGTGCTTAGTAAGTGTTCTCCTCTCTAAAATGCTACTGCCTAGCTGATAAATGCTCATATTTTTCTACTGCTTTTAAACTGACCTAGAATCCTTGCCTGATTGTGAGATCCTTAAGGACCACGGATCCACAGAATAAGGTTCGCCTGCTGGCCTAGAAACTCTGACTAATCAACCCCAAGCACTTAATCTCTTTTCTTGGGAACCTCACACTTACCCAGGGCTTAACTGATCCTGTTTCTTTAATCTCTGAGTCTCCTTGTCCTATTATTGGGTGAGGTTGGGATTTCACTTGGATTGTCTAGCCAGTGGCAAGGTTCCATGGAAAAATCTGGTTGACACGTGTTGTTGCAGGGACCCAGAGAAATTTTAGCGTGACCCATGTGCAAAGACACTCTTGGAGATTTTGTCCAGGTCTCCAGTTGCATTCTCCATGTGTTTTAAGAATCACGGGAGAAAAATTGTGGATGTTCTCTGTTGTTGCAGGGACCCAGAGGAATTTCATTCCATTAAACCTGCTTTGTGAGTGGGAGTTCACAGTAGGGAGTGGGGTGGGAGAAGAGCCTTAGCGGAAGAAGAAAAGGGTGAAGTGTCCCTCCCCTCCACTTCAGCCAATGATAGTTACCTGAGGGGGTGTATGTGGGAGGGATTCCCTCCTGTTGACCCCAGGTTCTAATCCCTTCTGGGAGAGCTCCACGTGGCCTGGGAAGCTATAGGAATCATTTCCTTATGAGATAGGAAGATGGATTTCCTAAAAAAAAAAAAAAATCTTTGTTGCCTTTTTGAGCTCCGGGTTGCTGCAGTTTCATGGTATGTTATCGGGGTCTTCTCAAAGAATTCAGAGTAAGACCACCTCTAATCCAAGCATAGGCATTTGTTGAGGATTGACTCCTCAAGAGGAAGCAGTGACTTCAGTGAAAGCAAGATGAATTTTTACAGGGTAAAGATGCAATTACATAACAGAAATTATGAATATTAAAAAAGCAGGAGGGATTTGTTAAGGGATTAGATAACGGGGAGGGGTCCCTTCTATGGTCCAGTGGTCAAACATCCTGGTCATGCTGCTTTCTAATCGGCTAGCTACTGTGGTCCTGTCTGGTAAAGATGGATACTTAGGTATTGTGGTCCTGTCTTGGGCTAAAATGGATGATGTGATTGTGGCTGAGCGCAAAGACACACCTGTTCAAATAGGTGAATTGGATCTGGGGGCAGTGACTAGTTAGGGGCAGTGGCTATATTTAGTCTGGG